GAAAATGGGTGGGAAACTTTGATCCACATCCTCCCCATCTCTCCTGTGCTCAACCCTCCTTGTGAGGGCTAAATGCGCATTATGCGCTAAATGTGCATTATCTCCATGTAGAGCACACAAAAATAAAACTGCCAGCTCAAAGGGCCTGGGAGTAGCATGCAAGGGCTACAGCCCAGCTGTAAGCAGTAATAAGTGATTTCAGGGTCAACTGAGAGGAATAATTAGTTGGGAGGAAGATAAAAGGCTTCCAGGAAGGGGAGGGAGAGACTTCCAGAAGGAACCGGGGGCTGCTGGGGACAGACAGATAGACTCACTCCCCAGGAGGGGAAGGAACCAGAGTGCAAGACTTAGACTCCTGGGGAGAGGAACCCAAGACAGGCAGGCAGACAATGGAGAGCCTGAAAGTCAGAGGGCTAAGAGCCAGTGAAATGAGCACCTGCTCAGAGACATGGAAAGCCGAGAGTCTGGGAGCCAAGCAACTGAGAACTAGAGAGCGGAGAGGGTGAGAGCTGGTGGGTCAGCACAGTAGTGCCTGAGGACCTGGTCTGGAGTACCACTTTCCCAGAGAACTGTCAGTGTATCAGAAACTGTGCATATGGTTAGAGAAAACTGGGTGATTTGGGGAAGAGACCATGTGTTGTGTATTTGCACAGTGATCAGCTTGCCTCATAGAATCATAGGGCTGGAAGGGACCCCGAAGGATCATCGGGTCCAGCCCCCTGCATGAGCAGGAAAGACACCTGGGGTCAGACAACCCCAGGCAAGTGACTGCCCAGTCTTCTCTGAAGACCTCTAGGGTAGATGATTGCACCATCTCTGCAGGGAGCTTGTTCCATGGTCTGGACACCCTAGTTGTAAAGAAGTTTTTCCTAATTTTTAGACAGGAAACTGTCTTCCAGGAGTTTGTGGCCGTTGTTTCTGGTTTTCCCCCAAGGCACCCTGATGAACAGTTGTTCACCAGGCCCCCAATATACACCTCTGATATAGTGGTAAGCCACAATCAGGTCCCCTCTCAGCCTTCTTTTCTTTAGGCTGAAGAGTCCGAGATCCCTCAGCCTCTCCTCATACGGCTTGCCGTGCAAGCCCCTGATCATGCAGGTGGCCCTTCTCTGGACCCTCTTGAGCTTTAGCACATCCTTGTTGAAGTGTGGCACCCAAAACTGGATGCAATACTCCAGCTGTGGCCACACCAATGTTGAGTAATGTGGCAGAATCACTTCTTTGGATTTACTGGAGATGCATCAATTGATGCATGCCAGGGTTTTATTGGCTCTAGCGGCTACTGCGTTGCATTGCTGGCTCATATTCATGCTGGGGTCTGTTGTTACCTATGGGGAGTATAGATAGTAAATAGAAGCTGTGAACCTATAAAAGGACATTGAAGGACTAGATGTGGAGCTAATTAGTAGGGCTGTGTGAAATTTTACCAGCAGTTTCATTTCGAAGCTGTTTCGACTCACTTCAAGCTTAGAACACTGAAATTGAAACAAAACAGAGCTTCGAAACAACCTCAAAAATTAAATGAGGCAATCGAAGCGTTTTGAAATTTTCAAAATGTTTCAAGTTTTGAAACTCAAGCTGGGCTTGCCTGCAGAAAAACAGAAACTAAAGTAAGGAGAGGGAGGGGCAAGGGGGGGAAGGACTGCTCTTATTATTGACTGCATAGCTGGCCAGTGACTGTCATCCTTCCCTGAGGTCCCTTCCAAACCCAGTGCTCACAGGGATGGACAAACTGCATAAAAGGCAGCATTGTTTGAACTGCCCTGATTTCTGCCTTGGTGTCAGTTATGCTGAGCTCTGCTTCAGCAGCTCAGCATCAGACAACTACAACTAGTCTAGCAGCACTAATCTTCTAAAGGATTCCCTACTTGCTAGCAAAAGCGATTTCAGATTCAGAATACCTTTTTCTTCAAGGCTCTTTTATTTTTTATTATATTCATTAATTGTTTTGAATTCTATAATTATATTGGATAGGATTACAATAGAATTTAATTTATATAGGAAGGGAAATACAGTTATATTTTATTTCTACACATTTAAAGCTTTGCAGCATACATCGTACATTATAGAGTTTATATACGGACAAAGCCATATTTCTATTTGCTTTTAGATGTTTCTTGTTTGCACCACACACCTACCTACATTCTTGCACCTACACTTTTGAATTTATACAGGGACAAAGCCATATAATTGCTGCTATACATTGCTTATTTGCACCACACGCCTACCTTTTTAATTTATATAGGAATGTGAATACATTTATATATTTGTAGAAAAGAAAGACATGAAACACACCATGAAGTGTGGTGGGAAGGCAGGTGGCCACATTGGCCAGTCTTCAGGGAGGGGCAGAAGAGGGGGTAAAAGGAGAGCTGTAAGTTTCCCACCCCCCCCACCAAACTGAGACGGCCTCTTTCCTCCAGCTAAAAGGGATGAGGCTGCTACCAGCAGCAAGGAGAGAGGAGCAGTGCCAGTGCCACTGCCTGTGCCCAAGACTGCATCCCCTCCACAAGCACCAGCCATAACCCCCACCACCACCATGATGGCAACAACAAGCAGAAGCAGCAGCACCAGCACGGCAGCCTACTCCACCCCTATTTCACTTCCCATGCTGAGCCTTCCAGTGCTAGAGGAAGAGCTGGTGCTGGATCTGGATGTGAGTGCCCTAGCAAGGGAAATTCTGAGGAAGGAGGGGGAATCATCTGAGTTTGTGAAATATGTTTTGTAAATTGTTCCCTCTCAGGATCAGGCCTGAGAGACTGGAGACAGAGTGTATTTTTGGTGAGGAGTGTGACCCCACAGGTAGTTGGGTTTTGTTGTCTTTGATAGATTCTGGTGTGCAGTTTGTGGGGGTACTGGTGATAGTTGGCAGGTTTTGTGTTTTGAGCTGTAGGAAGTTGGCTTGAGTTCTGATGATGAGGTTAGGTGCTTGTTTGAATGTACAAACCACTTTTCAGAGCCAGGCCTATGAACTTCACTTCATCAGCCTCCTAGGTAGTAGGTACAGAAACTCATGGACTCAATATACACAATGGAATTCTGACACACTGCAACCTGCCGGACATCTGACTCCCCGGGTACATCTGCACTTTTACCTATGATGCTACATCCCCCTTCCCCCCCACCCCAGCCTGTCCCTCACCCCCTCTTGCCCCCTTTCTATTTTCTGACTGGCTTTCTTGCCTGCATTGCGTGCCAGGCCAGCCTCTGGCTTCTTTACTATTCCTTTTATTTAGAACCAGCAGACATACCAACTGCAGGTGCTTCCTCAGCTTGACAAAGGGTTTTTCAACCCAAAAGCTTCCTAAGATATATTTCTCTAACTATTCCGGTTTTTTTCATAATAAACGTATAAAGACAAAAACAGAAGCCATCACACACCACAAGTAACATATATCCAATACAACATCTTTACTGCTTGCTTTAAATTCCTTGACAAAAAGAAAGACTCTGTGACAGTTTGGCTGCCTAAGATGCTGCTAATGTTACTGTGCTGCTGCTCACTAATGTATTGTTTTACCTGTTCCTATGTAAAGTAGTAGATGGGACTGATAAAGACAAAAACAGAAGCCATCACACACCACAAGTAACATATATCCAATACAACATCTTTACTGCTTGCTTTAAATTCCTTGACAAAAAGAAAGACTCTGTGACAGTTTGGCTGCCTAAGATGCTGCTAATGTTACTGTGCTGCTGCTCACTAATGTATTGTTTTACCTGTTCCTATGTAAAGTAGTAGATGGGACTGAGGCTGTAGGGGAGGAGGAGACCTCATTGGGGCACACTACCATGTTGTGTAGAGGGCCTAGCTCCAGTGAGGGTGCACCTGAACACAAATACACATGCACACACATACACACAGGGAGGGCACACTTTAACAAACACACTGGAAAAGAAGCAGCTCCTACTTGAGAGGAAAGAAGGGCTCTTTGATAGTTTGGCTAGGCTACCAGAGATGCTGCTGGTGCGTCTGTGCAAGTGCTGTTCACTCACTAAGTTATTTTATACCTGTTGTCATGTAAAGTGGTGGACCAGACTAAGGCTGTAGGGGGGAGGCGGCCTCATTGGGGCACACTACCATGTTGTGTAGATGCCCCACCACCAGTGAGGGTGCATCTTAATACACACAGTGTCACCCACCTATGTCACAAGTTTTGCCTGTCAGCAGCCGGAGGTGCAGAGCCCCAGAAGCCCCTGCACCTATCTCCTTGACAGCTGGCAGGCTTTGTGGCCATGGTAGAGCCTAGCAGGCCTGCAGTTTTCACTCCCCCCCCTCCCCCCATGTTCCAAGACAGACACAGTCCCACAAGCACCCATGTCGCGAGTTTTGCCTGTTAGCAGCTTAAAGTGCAGGTCCCCAGAACCTGGAAGCCCCTGCACCTATCTCCTTGAAAGTTGGCAGACTTTGTGGCCTCAGCAGGGGCCACCATCCCTACAGTTTTCACCCCCCTGTGCCTTACACACACACACACACACACACACACACACACACAGTGTCACCCATGTCATAAGTTTTGCTTGTCTGCAGCCTGAGGTGCAGTTTCACCCTGCTGTGGCTTAACACACACACATGACATGAGTTTTACTTCTCATCAGTTTGAGGTGCAGTTTCTCCAAACCCCTGCACCTATCTCCTTGAAACTCGTCAGGCTTCATGCCCTTAAAAGGGTTTACTATTTCTGCAAGTTTCATCCAAATCAGGCCAGAAATTACAAAGTTATAAGCTGTTTTGAGCTTCCCCATTATAGCCTATGTGTGAAACATCAAAACAGTGAAACCCTTTCAACAAAACAAAATGGAACAGTGGTTTTGAACAAGAGCAAAATTCAAAATGAAATGCGCTGTTCCATCAAAATGCTGCAATGCAAGTTGGAACGGAATGGTGCTGTTTCACACAGCCCTACTAATTAACCCAAACCCATTGCACTCCTCATTGATCTCAGTATCTATAATAATAAAGGATTAATTAAGTTATTGAAATAAACTCTACATCATACCTACACATGTAGGTGGTGTGCTCCACTTCCCTGCTTGACATGTAATGACTGGTGTTGCACTAATATCAAAACCTTCTTGGCATTGATAACGCACTGTGGCACCAGGCTCATCATAATCCCTTGTTCTGCCTTCTGGGATGCCATTAAGAATACTTGGAACAGTTCCACATAGCGTTTCTGAAAAGATATGCACACCAGGTTAATATGAACATAGCCCTGTTACATTTGCAGGTAACTTAATTATACCTTATAAAGCATGATGCATAGTCATCTATACCATCTAACTGAAATGGAAAATTAAATTACAGTAACCATGACAAATCTGTTTACAAATATTTTTTCATGTCTTCTGCACAGAAAGGAGTGACGTGGCCAGCTTCAGACCCACATTCCCAGCCTGAATGATTGGTTACACCTTGATAGCTGGGCCAAGCCAGGAGAGAGTATTTGGTACAAGTCCAAATCAAGGCTTCAACTCACAACTCTGCAGCCATAGTGAGATATTTTAACCACTTTGTCAAGATACCACTGAAATAAATGGGGCCCTAAAATAAGTGGGAAATGATCAAAAGAAAAGGAAAGCAAGAGAGAGGTTAAGGCCAAAATGGTGGCAGAAGAATGAAGCCTAAGGAAGGGACTAGAAAAGCCAGATCAACAGAGTGAAACATCAAATGTCTAAGGTGGAATTCTATTTCCTTTTGGTTATCTAAAGACAGGCTTTCCATTTTTTTCTAGATGGTATTTTTGGCACTTATGCATAGATATTCTGTATCTTGGATGTGTACAGGTTGACAGCTATGTACACGTAGACTTGAGCATAAGTCTGGAAATCAAAATGGAATGTCTCTCCCTTACTTCCTAGCACAGTGCTAGGAAGTAGAGAGCCACTTTACCACAGGTCAGCCAATATTCATGTCCTCTTCCACTCCTTGTGAAACTGAGCTACTGCCCTTTGCATTGAATAATCGAATAATCAAGTGGGGTGGGGGGGGAGGAGGGGGAGTACAGAAGGCAGTTCAGGGGGAAAATTGGTCTCACTGGGAGGAAGGGCCCAGGCTAGAATCCAGACTCCCCTATCTCTACAGTAGTAGGTATCTCATTGAGCCGCACACCTTTTTTGGCCTGCTCTCTTCCTCCTTGCTCCATATTTTTCATTTCTTGTCTGCAAACAGAGCCAGCTTCAAACAAAATGCTAAGGAAGGGCCTGTGGCCTGGTGGTTGTAGTGTTATGTTGTAAAATCAGAGCAGCACATATTCAGACCCCCTCAGGGCTGATGAGGCCTAGAAATAGGGTCTCTGGCTTCCAAGGTGAGTACCATAATAATTCAGTTACAGGGGCTAAAACATGGGAAGATCCCCCACTTAGCCCCTGTCCATAATGGGTCCTAGACCAGCCTCTCTCAATCCATGGGTTTCGACCCCAAAATGGGTTGCAAGAATATTTGAAAAAGTCATGAACAAACTTAAAAAATGGATCAACAAACTTTTAAAATGGATTCTTCTTTAAAGGAGAAAAACATGGGAAAGTGTGGCTTTTTCCTTGCCAGCTGTCAGAGTTCCAGCCTACAAGGGGCTTCTTGGGACTGCTTGGGGCCCCCCACACTCAACCCCTTTGCTCTATACAACCACCCCCGCCTCACACACTAGTTGGCTGGGAGCAGTGGGTTGGAAGCGAGGGGCACTGGGATGGAACTGGTCATTGGTGTTTACAAATGGGTCCTGGAACAAAAAAGATTGAGAACCACTGTTCTAGACCAACTACATTTTTCAGGCCATGGACGTTGGCATGCATCCACAAGGGGTGGAAGTACACAGCTATATATACCCCCAACTAGTGCATAGCTTACTGCATTTACTAAGTCTAATTGTTTAATGTGTATGCACACTTAGATATTCATGCTGCAAGAAAACAGAATTCCTACTTGAGGGTAAATACCAAAACTGCAACCAAGATGTAATTAAATAGATGCAACTTAAGATAACCAAAGGAAAGTAGAATTTTGCCTAAATGTAAGAAATAAAGGGAAAGGGGACTAGAGGAGTAAATGTATGTCATAGCACTAGAAAGAAGTAACTTGCAAACATTAGAGTAGGAAAAAAAAGAAGAAATGAAAAAAGAGGCCAAGACCAAAAAACTCCTTCTTCCATAACCATTGGTTAAATCCTTGATCCACTGAAATGTTGTCCTTTTGAAGTCCCTCCAACTAATGTATTTAAACAATATTCCTATAGGAGAAAAAATCAACATATGAAATTTACTCTCAGATGCCAAGTGCCATTCTCTAGGACTGCTCTTTTTTCAAGGAAAGAAAGATGACCTGAAGAAAAACCTTGATCATATTGATTCTAAAAGTAAAACTTTGTGAGTAGACATAGTAATCTATTCTCTGTGTCCAGAGCCACAATTTAGACTTGAAGAAGAAAGTGGTTATAACTCTGCTGGATTCACTGCTTACATGTACACTATCTTTCCTCATAACAGACCTCCCCAAAAGCATTGTAATTGAAAACTTAGACATTGGGTTAAATGTTTGAGTGTTGTTTTTTGAAAGCAATGAACCAAGTCAGTCACCTTTTGGTCACCAGCCTTCCTACTGATACAGACCATAGCATTCCAAGATGTTCACAGAAAAAAGCACTGCAAGATAAATCAGGACCTGGAGATACTATATAAGGAAATGAAGCATCATTTTGAGGTTTCTCAAAGAGGACTAAGAGATGGCCTACTATGTTAAATCAAAATCTTTGTTGGGTCAGAAGCTACAACATGTATGGGCAAATTAATAAGTCCAGATGCAATACTCTTAGTCACCCTCAGTTCCTTATCTGGAAAAGATAGATGGATTGATGCTATGACCACTATAACATAAATGCCATGGGTCAGAAGGTTTCCTAAGAAAGTTTTGGCCAAGGCTGAACTTGCTAACAGCATAAATGGAGCTCAGAAAATCATAGGGAAATTGTAGATTTACAAATGACAATAGAAGTCAGGCACATTAAGATGCAAAGGGGCTGGTCAGAACACTTGAGCAAGACAGGAGGATGTTTACAATACTTGTCTATGCATTTCAATACTAGCAGAAGCCCAGAGGAGAGAGGTTGGATTATTGAAGCTAAAGTAATACTCCTATCATCTTACTTTCATTTGGTTGCCCCTTTCACCTGTCATTTGTCTAAACACACAAGAAAGACTGTACCCTGCCTGAGACAGGAAGAAGGATTTCCTCTGGGTTTATACACAACAAACCCAATGGTGCTGCAATACCACTCTGTCATATGTCCATGGATAATTTTAACCCCAAATGTCCACATAAAAATCTGATAAATGCTTAATGAATTACCAGAACTGTGTGGTCACTGGAAATCACTTACCTCTGAGCTTACATTTAGGATAGATCAATACCCCCCTCAGGCACCAAGCTCTAAAAGGAGGAGATGTTGGATCATTCACATATCCCCGTTTACATTCAAATTCAACAACATCTCCAGATGAAACAACCAATTTGTCTCCATGCATCCATTTCAGCCTAATATTGTTTTTCTCCATCTCGTTTGTAGATGCTGCACATGGCTCTGGTAAAAGGAAAATGGAGATTAATGTGGATCTGATATTGGAATTTCATCACTTCAACCTTATTTTATAAATCCTGTCCCCAGAGGGTTTGCTTAGTTAAACAGTTATTGATATTTATGTCTTCCCTCTTCCATTTCAGGCTAGGAAATATTTCCATAATGGTTCTGAAAAAAGATTGGAGAAAGGATGTAGCTGAAGGAACAGGAAAGACATATGGGGGTATTTTTAAGAGTCCCTTTATGACCGCTGCAAACATTAAGAAAAAAGGATGTGGGGTAGAGTTATCAGAATAGTCTTCAAACCAATTTAGATTATCTTGAGGAGAAGGAGGACAGTGTCATATCCACTCTTCACTGACGGACAAAAAACAATATTTGCATATTCTACCATACATTCTTCAACTTCATTTTACCACATCTGCTGTGATTTACATATATCTGAATAAATTAGTTCCCCTATTGTAAATGTTAGTTTCATTATAACAACTCTTTTAGATTAGAATATATTGGAGAATTAATGTAAATGCTTCTATTAGAATGGAAAACTTTTGGGGAGGGAGGAGGTGGTGAATTCCTGATTTTATCTTTTAAAAACTAAAATAATTAATTCAGAGTAATTAGTTATAAATGCCACTTACTCATTATTATTTCACTTTGCCACGGGGCAAGGGATGGTAGGACCGATGCCCCTGAGACTCTACCTTGAGGATCAGAGTTTGCCTCTCACACATTCTGTCTAACTCAAGTTGATAAACTTAATCAGAATCTGTGACACCCAAACTGGGTGTTAACATGGAAAATCTCCACACTGGAACACTTCACTGTTGTTTTCCATTTAATAAAAGTTTTTCCTACTTCTGCAAGTTGGTGGATTTGTCCATTGCCCAAAGTCACATCTAACAAATCGAGATCCCACCAGTGCATATGTAGTTTTGCATTTGTATTCCACAACTGAACCTAATTCATAGAATGGCAATGCAAAAGAAATTGTATCTCCATTTTCAATGGTAGGTGGGGGCCCACACTTTCCAGTAGCATCTGGAATAAATAAAGAACAGAGTGATGCTACTTTTTTGTTTTTTTGTTTGTTTGTTTTTTACTTTTAGAGAGCTCAGGAATGAAGTTATTTGCCTACAGATATCAACAGAAATATCTTCCCTGACTCCAGTGGAGCCAGGATTCCACCAGGTTTTTTCCTATATTATCTAATGTATTAGTAAATCTCATGGGGCCAGGTTCTGGGCCTGGAGACCACATCTAGAGAGAGAAAGCTTCAACATTTCTTCACATTGTGCTGTAAACCAACCCATAACATTAAGCAGTTTGTGAAGTCAGTGGTACTACTCTGTAGGAATTAATGCCACAATTTGTCCCACAGCCCTTCCTCAGATATTGTCATCTCACAAACCGTCACAAATGGAATAATAAGGATCTCAAAAATTGAGTTTCCTCTATAGGATGCTGGTATAAAATTTCTCTTGCTATTGCTACAAAATATCACAGAATAGAATAATCTCGTTTTTCTTGCTTTCAAGTGATGATACATTTGTGCACAATAAAGAGCAGCGGCATAATTGAGGCAGGGTGACCAAGTTAGCCCCTCATGCCAATTTGGGAGGAGAGGGGGCACAAAAAATAACAGCTGCCAAGCTGCCACACAACTATACTGGCAACAGCAACTGGAAGTCATGGCTGAACCTGTGTGTGGTAGCTGTCCCAAGTGCCCAGCTGCTTTGTTATTCCTCTGATAAGGAAACAGAGATATGGAGAAATAAATGCTAGAGAGAGAAAGAGAAGCTTTTTATTCCAATCAGGAATTATTTCTTCCTACAGGTCTATTAAGTAAACATACCTCTGCATTCTGGTGGTTCTGCTGGTGACCATTCTCCTTCCATACATGTTAGTGTTTGTGATCCAGTAAGGTTCAGACCATGCTGACATTGATAATCCACCCTCTCACCAGGAAAATACCTCGGTCTTTTCGTCTCCAGAATCCCACCCATAGCAATGTCAGGTGGAGGTGCACATGTACCATCTGAAAAGAGATGCAAGGACTTTTACAGACGTTGTAAGCACAGGGAGAAGAACCTCAAGTTAAATTAATAACTTAGGATATTCCCTTAAGTGTGGGTAAGTTTTGTTTAGACCATCTAATGCTCAGCCAATCCTATTTTTAGTCATGATACAGAGAAGATTATTTCATGATCTAAAAACTACAAACTCCAACAAAGAGAAGCTATCGTGTTTTAATAAGAGATAATCTCAGACTCTTGGTCATGTCCTATTAAAGATCAAAACTTATCACCATGTGCTACTGCAGTTGAACATAGTTCTGAATGGGATCTGAATGGAATACAGGAGGCAAGAAATTCAATTCAAAAGAGCTTATTCTGAGTAATTAAAAAGTCCAGGTCTCCCCATTGCTGCCTACACTTCTGTTCCTTGAAGGGACAGGTGCTGGATAGGGTAGAAAGAGAAAGGAAGGAAAAGGAAAATGTCTCCAACACAGCATAGTCTGTTACTCCTTAGCTGCATCTACATGAGATGCTGACTATGCAGTATCTCATGTATAAACTTGTATACACTACTTGTATAAACAAGTACTAAATGACTGCGCAGTTTCCAGAGTTACTGCCCAGCAGCATCACCAAGTGGCTTTTAGGTGATGCTGACTGCACAGTAGCTCATTACTATACATAGTAGCATTGAATCACACTTTGTTCCATGCATTGTTACTGCGCAGTAATAACAAGACTGTGCAGCCAGTGTTTCATGTAAACATGCCCCTTGTGACCAAAAAACGTGTCTGCAGTGCTCCCCTTGTAATTCCTGGTTGGGAACAAAGTAGCTGTGTCACCCAGACTCTGACATACTCTCTCCCATTGCTCCCAAACCCAAAAGCAAGGCCATGTTATTTACAGCTATCATGTCAGTTACAGCTAAATCCCAAACCCAAAAGCAAGGCCATGTTAGTTACAGATAAATCATTTGTACGTTTTATCCTCTTTCCAAAACTTGAGCTTAAATGACACTCTGCAGGTCTCTGGGACCTGAAGGAAAAAAACTTCAATGAAGGAACCTCGCGTCTCTGTGTTTCATTGATGCCAGTAATGGCTCCCATACCAACATGGGCACTTTGCATGTTCATTATTTAAAATATCGGGAAGGTGATATCTCTCCATCTAGATAATATATATCTCTAGATAGATAGATAGATACACACACACACAACATTTTATGACATTTATAAGTCAGCAGGACTGGATGTACTTCATTTGAGATTGCTGAAAGACCTGGCCAAAGTCATCACGGGATCTCTGGCAAAACTCTTCCATAACTCGTGGCAAAACTCTTCCATAACTCGTGGCACTCAGGGGAGGTCTCTGAAGAGTGGAAGAGGGCCAATGTTGTGCCCATCTTCAAGAAGGGGAGGAGAGAGGACCTGGGCAACCATAGGCCAATTAGCCTAACTTCTGTGTCAGGGAAAATCCTGGAAAAAATCATTAAGGAGTCTATGTCTGATACGCTTGCAGAAGGTAGGATTCTGAATGACATTCAGCATGGCTTCATCATGGGCAGGTCTTGTCTTACCAATCTCATCTCCTCGTATGGCCAAGTAACTTGCCACCTGGATAAGAAAGAGGGGGTTGACACTGTATACCTAGACTTCCAAAAGGCCTTTGATCTGGTATCCCATGATGTTCTCAGGAGAAAATTGGAGGATTGTAGGCTTAACTGCTCGACAGTTAGGTGGATAGGAAGCTGGCTGTGGGGTAGGACCCAGAGAGTTCTAATGAACGAATCTGTCTCATCCTGTGAGAAGTGGCCAGTAGTGTCCCTCACAGGTCAGTGCTTGGTCCTGTGTTTTTCAACAACTTTATCAATGATTTGGATGTGGAGGTGAAGAGTTTACTGGCCAAGTGCATGAACAACACCAAGTTATGGGGGAGCATGGTCCCCTCTGCATGTTACACAAGCAGTGTATGAGTTGGCTACTTTCTGAGCTTGTACAAGGTGTAGAGTACAGCTCATAACTTAATCATTCTCCCCCTTGTTGTCCTTCAGCAGCAGGCACATACCGTGAGCATTCTAATGGATCATCCCCTATACGTTCTGTCTGATCCATTACTGAGTGTTGGAGTACTCCTAAGAGAAATATTATCATGAAAGTTTAACAAGGCTCTTCAGAATTCATCAAACCACATGATGTACCTGCACATGTAGATGGTTTGGTCCAATTCCCTCCTCTACAGGTAATATCTGGTGCTCCAATCATACTAAAACTTTGATGGCACTGATAACGTACTGTTTCACCAGACTTGTAGCTATCTCTTGCTTCACCTTTGATGACAGCATTCTCAACACTTGGAACAACTCCACATTGCACTTCTAAAAAGATCCATACACCAGATTAAAATGAGTTTAACCCTCCCACAAGTTCCATGTTTAATTATTCTTTTGTTATACTGTGCACAGCACTAAAGACAGCTAATTTTAAAACAACATTGTTACAAAACCTGCAAAAGTTCTCTAGAGTATAAGTGGTCAGTAAACCTCACAGTGAGTGCTTGGTAAAAAAATCCAACAAGTTACTAGTAGTACTTGGAAAATTAAATGAACCCCAGCTTTAAGTATACTAAGGGTAGGCTTGCTGCTGAAATCTAGCTTTTACTTCTCTCTGAAACCAACATTTGCAATTGCTTCCCATCTTCTGATTTCTCACACTGTGTGTTGATTATTATTAGCACAATTGTGGTGAAGATGCTTAGCTCCCAACCTCAAACCACCAAAAAAATTCAAACCTCTCACTTCTTTTTAGCTACCTCAAAATCAAAAGAGAAACATGCTCTCAGTGGAGAGAAGGGGAGATCACTAAGAAAGTGTACCAAGGGCTAGCAGTTTGTTACTGCCGTTTGTTCTGAAATACCAACTCTCAGAATGAGGAACTTGTGCCTCTTCTGAAAGCTCCAGGAAGATTTCCAATGTATAGGGTTTTAACAGGGAGTCAGGTGATGTAAGTACTTCTCCAAATCATTAGTTATCATTTGTTAGGTGAAAAATCCAAGTATATAGAGACCTACAGGAATTCCAGCATGACTAAATATTTGTTTATATCTCTATGTCACTATGGAACCAAATTTCGTCTTTGAGCCTTGGCAGGTTGAGAAACATGCCCTGAGGACACTGCTTCTTCCCTCTAAGAGGCTCCCACTTACAGCCCATTTTAAGCTCCTGGAACTATCTTTTGATACTTGTACAGTGATGTAAAACGGTCTTACTTTAGACATACACACTGGTGAGGCCTTTCCCCGTGCAACAGTTGGTTTTAGCACAGACAGTCCTGGAGCCATTGCTGCCTGCTGCACCTCCCTGCATCTAGTCCTTCGCTGGCAGAGTACTCCCTGTAGGACTCTGTATGCACAATTTGGAGTTGAGTTTTAACAGCTTTAAGTTATGTCTGGATCTTCCCTTCCTCTTTCCCC